TATATATATATATATATATGAACAATCTTTCTCTAAATAACAATCTTCACAAAATTTAGAACTAGAAATTCTAACTTCATTATTCGAATTGTTTAAACATTAAAATAAATTGATAAAATTATTAATTTATTTCTTATGAACGGTATTTTTTTTTTAATTCTGTAATAGGAATAAAAGAATAAGTTAATTAAGAATAAGAATAAGTTTTTTATTCCGTGTTTATTCTGTTAAGAATAATTATATTGCTAATATTATTCTTAATATTAGAAATATTAATATTATTAATATTATTCTTAATATTAGCAATATTAAGAATTATCATTTTTAATATTGGAAATATCAAGAATGAACTTATTGCTGAAATGAAATATTCACCTTTTATGCAAAAAATATTTAACGATTTTTTTTAATTTTTTTTTAAAAATAAACCTAGAATTTACTAAGAATTTTAATATATAATTTTATGGAGGAAATCGATATAGTAACCATCTAAAATTGATGGATTTACATTTTCTACTGACAGAATCGGAAATAAAACGTGTCGTACTCTGCATCAAAAAAATATTTTGGAATCTTTTAGTAAAATTTTGATTTGAATGTAACTATCTTTTTAAAGACACGAAAATGATTGTAAAGCAATTGTGGGAAACAGGGTATAGGGCCTCCTAGTAAGTATATAAAAGTTAATTAAGAATGCTATTCATAACTTCAAATTCGTAAATCTTTGAAAATTTTGCTTTTTCACTCAACCTAAAAATTCTAATTTCGTACAATTAAATAAAATTTACTTGAAATATACGAATTAAAAAGAATTCGCAAGATAAAACTTTTTGCTCCTTTTCTAATTTCTGGTCTAAATACAAAAGTTACTTTTCACGTGTATTTGTCTTCAAATCTACGTTAAAGTGTGAATACATTCTTTTTATTTTAAACACATTAACAGTTATTAAACATGTCTTGTACACTGTCTGTACTTGTCTTGAACTATTCCAATCACTTTTCAAACAGTACCACTGTAATATATATATATTCAAGAAATTATTTTTTCATTGCTTTTGGATACAAACTGTTAGAATTTTCATTCTAAAGTTATGATACATTGTCCATTTACGGTAAATAATATTCTTTACCTTTACGGTATTGAATCCTTTTACAACTAGTGTAGATATAAAACCATGAATACAAATCCGTGCTGTTTTTAAATAATTTACAACTAGCATAGTTTCAAACCCGTAAAAAAGAAATTTACCACATATAATATGTATATATTATCCTAATTTGATATTTTTTTATAATTTAACTCTTAATTATAAAAATACATAATGTTTCATTAGGATGGTTTAAAAGAATTATCAGTATAGATAATAATTTATAAGTCTGCAGCGGAAAGTGGTACTAAATTAATAAATAAACACCAGATTAGAAAATACCAGGTAAATACATTTGTCAGAATATTATAAATAATAACTGGAACCTTTTTGGTGAATATAAAGCCAGACACAGAGTATAGACCTGCGTCGCCTAAAGCTTCTGCTACTTGGTGAACATGATTAACACGTTCACGCCGGGAAAAGTGAAAATACTGGTAGAACTATTTCAATATTAGAAAATATTCGGGAGGAGTTAATCTATTGTCAACAATAACAATTCACTGTAAAGAAATTTATCACGGCGATGAAGCAATTCAATATAAAAATTGCATCCGTTAAAAACAATTGGTAGTTATGGATTTTTATTATTTCCGGAAAAAAAACTAAAAAATGAAATTTATTGTTAGAAGTTTTTACTCCGGTGCGCTGCCAAGATGAGACAATCTAACGTGACCCACCGGTGGGTCACCCCTGCGTGGACGTGTTAAAAAGCTAATCAATCTCATTGCCCGGTATAAAGTACGGTATTTTTTTTAAAAAGACAAACTGTAATCTGTCAGTATGCGTTGAATGATGATATACAATTTATAAACATTCCAGACATTCACCAAAGGGACAAAATGTGAATGTCAATATTTACAAGAGGTGGTCAACGATTCAATTCAATGAGAAAAAATACACAGGGAGCAATACATAACTAGTCTAGATAGCAATATCAGATGCGTTAACAGGTACAAGTCAAGCATTGTACTCTTTTATTCATACAATCGTTTAAACTTTTAAACTATTAGTTTTACCATCGTATATTTTGTCCTGCTCATCGGAAATTAAGTATTATTTATTTAGGCAGCAGTAGTTGAAATTCTCTTCCCATTCACTCTCTTTTCCTACCAAAAACCATAGCATGAGGTCATGAAACTTTTCACCACTTACTACGAGGAGCGTATTAAAAAAATTCTCATCAGGTTTGATTTTCTTTTCATTTTGATGAAGCTTATTTCTATACTAGATGCCGTGAATGTCTGGAAAATATTCCCCCAAAGGAATAAAAATTGCCACGTATGATCAAAAAACTTAAATATTGCGGAAGCAGTAGAAGTTTAATTGCATCTAGAAGTTAATGCGTTAAACACTTGAAAAAAAAGAGAAAAATGAATTAAATAAACCAGAAAAGTCAATTTGAGACACTTTGGTAGTAAGTATTCGGACAAAAATTAGTACTGACAAAAACAGAATTTTAAAAGAAGGGCTACTAAAAATTATAGAGATCGATATCGAAAGATTGACATGAAAAAAAAAACGCGATTCTAAACACACTCTACTAAGCTTGCAGATCTTGAAAAAAGAAAAGAATTTTCAAACATAACAATTAAATCTTCACATTCTAGAATTTAATCTTAATGGTTCGATCGGGTAACCTCAAATATAATATAGTTAATTAATTCAGACAATGTTTTAAGTTATGAAATCAGACACTAAAACGATTTTTTCACTGACTAAACATACCCTTTTTTCGACGGATTCAGATTTTTGACCCCCGGGTTTTGGAGGCATCGGCAATCTGGGACGGTTCCAATAGTTCGATCAGGGGAGCTGACCGAAATTTGAACCCTTTAATGTTAATATAACTATTTGCGCATTTTATCATATCTCAAGAACTTTTTAAGGGAAGTGTTGAAATGTTTCACACAATTATAAAATTCAATTAGCTAAAGATATTTCCATGGAAAAAAAAAACAACTCTTAGTGAGTAATTATTATTTTTTATTATTTCATTTTAGTAAGAGTAAAAAAAAGACTAAATTATAAGGTATGCAATATTTTGCATCATTTTAAAGAATGCAAATTTAAAGGGCAAAATACAAAATTTAATTGAAATTGGTCGAATAGCTCCTGAGAAATCGAATTTTAAAAATACGACTTTTTTTAAAATCGATTTTTCCGAAACTTTTCTACCTGTTTCTCTCAAATTTTGTAATTTGCCATTTAAAATTGCATTCTTTAAAAATATGATAAAAAATTTATATATTATGATTCAAGAATGTTTAGACTATTATTGAATAAAAAAATTCTCACTGAAAGTTATATTTCGCATGAAATCATCTTTGAATAAACGAATTTTATTATTGCGAGCTAAGGTTTTTCAATTCGCTTAAAAAGTTCTCGAGATATGGTGAAACACGGAAAAATTAAAATTATTATTAAGGGGTCGAAACTTTAAACCGCTCAACTGGCCAAAATATTTTGACTATATATAACAGATTGAGGCTGCCTCCAATATCGTAGGGGTCAGAAATCGAAATCCGTCGAAACAATTTGTATGTTTATTCAGAGATTATATTTTTGCGTTTGATTACGTAATTTAAAATATCGTCTGCATTAATTAATTAGCATATTTGAGGTAATTCCCTCGAACCATTAAGATTTATTCTAGAACGTGATGATCCGATCAATAGACCAAAAGTTATTCAGGATGGTCCGTTTATTTATTTTGCACACCGTGCAAACCTAGAAAATGTAAATGGAACATGTTGTTGCGTTCTGCAAAGCTCAAGTGTGTCTTTTTATATATGCTGCTTTTTCAGACTGTATTATTTATTATTATTATTATTTTAGATCTATAACCAACTTTCTTTTATAAGTTTTTAGAAATGGGGAAATTGGTTCGGCTGTAGCCTTGAACATGGATGGTATAGGAAAACGATAAGAAATTCGAATTGTTCATCAGCTGAAGTAGATGCGGTAAAATTTAATAATAGGTTAAAGCTAGTTCAGAAATAGTTTTTAGCCACTTTTCGACAGTTTAATTAAAGTACAGTTTAAGGGTTCGAAATTTGACCTGTTCAGAGGTTGAAGTTGATACGTTGTCCCTAAATCTTCAGATACCAGAGGTGGTATTAGGATTTAGGTTACTCATCTTTTAGGGTTATTTTCAGGATTGGCTGCTGCATAACGTATTCAAAAAATCCCCAAGACCTATTCTCAAGGGTCGCCTGTGGGTGTAGGTGTTGATTTCGTTATGACGTTCTCGGAATTCCATTTTAATCTCAAAATTAGTTTAAATTAAATTTTGTATTTATATTTCCAGAATTTTTCATGCCTCTTTAATTTTTTCTCCGTTGCAACATAACATTTCGTAATCATTTGAAATAACTATGAGTAATAGCAAAGTTGTGAAAAAACTTTAAGATTCTTTTAATACCTTTAAATTTGTAAGAAAATAGACGTTGCTTTGGAGTTAGCATTTCGAATAATATGCCTTCCTTTTACTTTAAAAATATGTTTCATATTGCATTCAAATTTAGAATACTTTCCTATTTATTTCAGAAGTGATTCCTGAAATTTCATCGACTGATGCTTCTACTCCATCAACTGATGCTTCTACTCCATCGACTGTTGCTTCTAATACATCGACTGATGCCTATACTCCATCGACTTATACTTCTACTCCATCGACTTATGTTTCTACTCCATCGACTTATGCTTCTACTCCATCAACTTATGCTTCTACTCCTTCTACTTTTGCTTCTACTCCATCAACTGATGCTTCTACTCCATCGACTTATACTTCTCCATCGACTTATACTTGTACTCCATCGACTTATACTTCTACTCCATCGACTTATACTTCTACTCCATCGACTTATGTTTCTACTCCATCGACTGATGCTTCTACTCCTTCTACTTTTGCTTCTACTCCATCAACTGATGCTTCTACTCCATCGACTTATACTTCCACTCCATCGACTTATACTGCTACTCCATCGACTTATACTTCTACTCCTTCTACTTTTGCTTCTACTCCATCTACTGATGCTTCTACTCCATCGACTTATACTTCTACTCCATCGACTTATACTTCTACTCCATCGACTTATACTTCTACTCCATCAACTGATGTTTCTACTCCATCGACTTATACTTCTACTCCATCGACCTATGTTTCTACTCCATCGACTGATGCTTCTACTCCTTCTAATTTTGTTTCTACTCCATCAACTGATGCTTCTACTCCATCGACTTATACTTCTACTCCATCGACTTATACTGCTACTCCATCGACTTATATTTCTACTCCATCAATTGATGTTTCTACTCCATCAACTAATACTTCTACTCCATCAGCTGATGATATCGTCACAAAAAATCTCAACACAACCTTTTTCTGAATCTAATAATATCACTAATGATTATGATAATATTACCGAATCTCTTATAGTTACGCTTTAACTATTAACCAAACATCAGATACTTTCCTTACTTCCACAAATGATTTTAGTGAAACAACTTCTGAATCTTCACAGATGATTGAGATTGGACACGAGAACTTTTGAACTATACCTTGATTGTAAACCAAATAATTCACAAATGATTTTAGAGAGGTAAAATCCGAAGTTTCTGATATCACTAATGGTTTTAACTTAAGGAAGAAGCTTCAATAAACCAATCTTCCGATAATCCGTATGATATTTGGAAAAGCACAATTGTTTTTTTTTCAATTAGCTGAAGAATATAATACGTTTATTAAATTCCATTGTGTGTAGCACTTTGCAATCTGTTTTCCTAATGTCATTTTGAATATAAATAATTTTTTTGTTGATCACTTTGACTGGCATATAATTTTGAGCCCTTTTATTTTACCGAAGAAAATGTCTGAAAAAGCAATGCTCTTTTTTCTCACATTGACAGCGAGATAGAAGACTTGTACGATTTCTACAAATTAATTGCAGAAATATTTAATTTTTATTTAATTATTCATAGTTCAAACATTGTGAGAAGCATCTCATAATATTGGTGTAATGTTTAAAAAAAATCATGAATTGAAATCGGCTACTTTTGCAATTTGTATTTATTTCACCACGATTGAGAAAAAGTTTCCTCGAAAAATCGTAAAGATCGTTGTATAAGATCATTGTATTGATGTGAAAATATTAATAAGTGCAACCGCAGTTTCATTTTACAACATAAAAAAAGTGGTAAATAGAAAAGGAAATTTTTTAAAAAATAGTATTATTGATTAAAACGAGTTATTTTGTCTACGAGCAATTATACATTTATATAGGTTATAGTTACGTATGGATACGAATTAATTTAGTTCCACCCTTAAAAACTTCATTATTGGCATGAACTCTTCCCTCACTAGTTGCCACGTTCACAATAAACCCTACCTCTTAGCTCCTCTATCTATGTTCATTATTAGCATCATAATATCTTCTCATGCTAGTTGTCACATAACGTTCCTACCTCTATTGCCTACCTAGGTGGTCTCTTCTATCTAGGTGGTGATGAGATGACGACTCTTCCTTTTAGCTGTTTACCTTCCAGTATTCAGTCCCTGCAAACTCCAGTATTTTTCTTCTTGACTGAAAATCTCCAAGCACAGCCAATATCATTACGAGGGTGTGCTTTTTGGAAATTTTTCATATTTTGCAATCTGGCAATCTTGTTACGAAAATATTTTTTAAATCATTCTTGAAAAATTTCCCGTTCATGTAAGTATATTTGAATTCGCTACTCGCTTCATAGATTTTGTTTTATTCTATTTTTTATTTCATTTTATTTTCTGTTTTTACGTGTTATTTTTACTTATTTTGTTCTATTTTATTTGTTGTAATTTTTGTAAAAAAATTTTGAGTGCTCCTCACCATATTGTATTAATATATTTTGCTTTGGCTATATTGATACAATATCAGAAAGCACTCNCATCAATCTAATTCTCAACTGAACAACACAGGTTGCTGGTCGCAAATTTATTGACTGATGGTAGTAAATCAAACCTCTTATCAGCAGTTTACCTGCCGAACACCTTTATTTATTTTCATTTATTAATAAATTAATTATTTGCTATAATAAGAATTTATTTTTTTTGCTATATTTGTGAAAAACGTGTAAACAAGTTTGCATAGATTCTTCAACAAAGCTAGCAGATTTGTCGTCATCATCAGAAAACTGTAGGACCTCCTACAAGATGACGCAGTCCTCTCACTCTTGCCACGCCCCTCTGAAAGCCTAGCCTACTGAAGATCAACTTGTCTCGAAACTTCTTTAGTTAGCTGAGAATTTTTTCGGAAAATTCCTTATGAGTTGTCAAGCAATTTTTCGGTAAAATTGCACACACCCTGCAATTTATTTATTTCAGGTGACAGCATCTTATCTGACATGGATAAAGTCTATGTGAGTAAGGTGCCACGAGAAACGACTTCAGTTAAAGTTTGAACAGAATTAAATATAAAACGGAAATTTTCAGAGGTTTGCAGCAAATTTGTTTTTAAAAAAATGCAACAGCTGTTTCATTTCAGAACATAATATAAGTCGGATGTTAAATAACTTGACATAGTTAATATAATTTGGGTTGGAATTTTAACTTTTTCCAATTGTAAGTGCGAAGATCGAAAGATTTAATTAACATTTTGAAGAAGAAACATGTTGCACATTGACCTCTTAACGTCTAAAAAACAGCAATCAAGCAAAAAAAAAAAAATTCTCTTGGTTAATTTTTATTCAAAATGTGATGCTATTCAAAGTAACTCTTCTTTTCTATTTCGTAAACTTGGTTCAATTTTGCCAATTGTAAATGCGAAGAATGAAATATTTAAAAACTGTAAGTAAATATTTAAGTAACATTTTTAAGAAGCGACAAGTTTCAAAAAATGCAACATCGGCCTCTTAAATAAAAGGTGTCATCAAGTAAAACATTTCCTTACTTTATTCAAAATATGGTGCTATGGAGAGTAACGCATACTTTCAATGCTAAGCTTTATTCTAAGCTGAAGTATGAACAGCTTGCAGGTATGTTCTAACGGCAAGTTTAATGAATAAAATTTTATTCTGTCAAATATCATAATTTCTAAGGTAGAAATAGAGCAAAGGTATTAAAAAAATGTTAAAAGTTCTAAAAATTTTTTTAAAACACTCATCAAGGAAGGATATTTGGAAACATACTAATCCCTCATGAGACCAAAGTATTACCAAAGCTTTGCTTGTTTGAATAATTTAAATCAGCCTTCCAGTTTTTTTAATTCTCTAAAGAAGGGATGAAGGCATGTTATAAAAATAGTATGGCTTGTGGCAAAGCTAGGGCGGAATGTTGAACTCTCAGTCACTAAACTACTTACAAAAAGATTGTATCGATATAATTTTAATCATTGATGATTTAGATAAATCTATTACATGTTTCGCATTAGTAAAGGTTATAAATTAATTTTTAATTTAATTAATAAGAAAGGGGAGCAAAAGCTTTATTGCATTTAAGCAAGTAATTGACATTATAATAATTGAATAATTGAATATAGTAATTGAATAATTGGGATGTCAAATCTGAAATTAATTTAGTTCCAAAAACTACTATTCTTCACAAAATGGAATTTTTAGTTAAGTTCATTTTTTTGTCTGAATGCATAAGTCTATATAGGACTAATGAAAATTTTACAGCGGCCTAGAGGCCAATACAATGGATCAACGGAACATTAAAGTAGATCAACATACCCTTAAATATAAAATACAAAAAATATGCCTGAACCAAGATTTAGCAAACTACAGGAACACGGTGTTCCTGTGGTGTCGATAGCCAATATATAGGACTAATGGGTTTATGCACATACATATATACACTTGTCCTTTTTTTTCCTTTGAAAATACTCAAGACAAAAATCCTATCATTTTAAATCATCGCATTATTTACTAAAATGTAATATCACCTTCTTTATACTACACCCTGCATTTCAGAGAAATGGGGACACTTTGTATTTACTCGAATGATCGTTTTTTTTTTCTTTTTTTTTTTTTTAAATCCTGTTTAGGGACATATTAAAACGCATAAGAATTGTATTTTGTAGGCAGAAACCGATTGAAGATTTGAAATTTGGGACTCGGAAATATTTAAGATCCGATCAGAAATCTCCCGCAATGTTAAAAAATGTATCAATAATTAATTTTGTAAATTAAATGATGAATCACAGCTTCTTTTAGATCTAAATAAGTGCGCATTTTAAAAAAAATATAATTATAAATTTTCCCTAAATGTTTTATTGCGAATTAAATTTAGGTTGAATTTTCGGCAGAATTTAAAGTTTTGGTCAGTAGCTTGCATAATGTTTCCGAATTATTTAGTTATACTTTGAACTAACATTGATTATATGTATGATTAAACTAACAATAATTAACCCTTTAACAGGCCCTTTATTTCTAGTAAAGGTAAATTAAAGTATTTTTGGAATTGAAATTGTTTTAAGAATAGTATTTGATATAAAAAAAGAAAAAACTCATTTAGTTTATAAAAATGCCATTTTTTTGGTGGTAAATATATTTAACATGACCTATAAGGAACTTACTGACTTTTATTTTTCTTTGTTTATAAAATAAATTCCTTAAATGCTACAAACTTCAAAAGGAATTATGTATTTTATAACTTTTATACGCTTTTAAAAAGTGACAAATGGTTACCAATTTTATTCAAACTCACTTCAAGAAAGCTGAAGTTATTGAAAAATGGAAACCTAAATTAAAAGTGGTAAAACGTGGTGGTAAGTATACTTACCACGGCCTCCAAAAGGGTTAAAGTCAAAGCAAAGTAAGTCTGTCAAATTAGTAACGCCTATATTTAAGCTTCCGTTTTTTATTTATTTACATCCTGATTCTGATTTTGTACAAATGCTTTAATGAATCACCCGTACCCAAGGGGTTAATGACACAAATTTGTTTGACTTCAAAATGTAATTTACGTACCAAATAAACTCCTGTTTGTGAAAATTGCAACACCATGAAGGAATCGTCATAATTGAATGACTTTTAATACACAGTTGAGTGGTAGTGGTACAAATAAATGATTAAACTTTCAAAGCAAACAAACAATAACAAGAGATCGAAATCAGTATTTTGTGTAGCCACCACGCATCACAATAAGTGTTGCTACACGACATGGCATGGAGTCAAGCAAACTTTGAAAGTATGTCTGAGGTAGAGAATTCCATATTGTTTGTATGCGTACCCAAAGTTTGTCTGTAGAAGCAACAGGACGAGGACCAGAAGCAAGACGCTGACCAACAAAATCCCAGACATGTTCAATCGGCGACATATCCGGGGAATACGCAGGCCAAGAAAGAAGCTATACCTGCCGCGATGCAAGGAAGGATTGAGCAGTCCCCAGCAATATGAGGGCGGGCATTGTCCTGTTGAAATACAGCGCCTGGCAAGGCTTCTAGGAAGGGAACAGATTGGGCTGTAGAACTTCACTGATGAACCGGTTGCTGTCCAGATTACCCACAATTGAGATCGTCCATTCTTTGCTATGGCACCTCAGACCATAACTCCGGGTGTTCGTCCACTGTGGCTTTCGATAATGCACTCCGGAAGGTCGCGTTTACCGGCATAGCGTCTGACACGAATGCGGCCCTCATGGTACTACA